TTTGAAGTAAAAATCCAGTGTTTTAAAAATTGCCTGAATTAGACACAGAACTTGGGTTAATCTTCTTACTGCTGCTTCCATTCAAATCACACAGTTCAAATTCACTTTATTTGATATGGATCCAGCCTTTTAGACTATGATGGAAAATCTTTCCTGAATAACTTTTAAAAAATATAAACCTATTTTATAAAACTCATTTACAGGCCACAAAAAGTAGTTCAGAAGTGACAGTAAGAACAAACCAATATTCACAGTGCTTAGACGTGGAAATGAGATACAGAAAGTGAATATTATAAAGAAGGACTATGAATCCAAGGCTGTGAAAGGTTATAGATATTAATACTTAATGTACAATGGTTTTAGGAAGATTGTCAGGAAATGTGAATTTTCCTCATCATTAATCATGTCAAAATTCAATTCTAACTTTTCAGTTAATACTTATTATATTTTAAAAATGGCTACAATTTTCTATTTCAAGAACAAAATCTCACTAGCAAATCCCTGAGGTACATCTGTCATATATATATATATATATGGCTATATATGGCTAATATGCAAAATCGAACTCAGGAGTTCGACTGGGAGACTGGGAGTTCGATTGCTCACTATGATCTGCACTGACCACCAAGGGGTGGCACAGAATGAAGAAAGGGCTTGGCCAGCAACTAGCAGCTGGGGAAGGAAGGCCAAGGCCAGCAGCTGGAAGGCCCCAATTAGCTCTGATCACCGGCCAGGCCTAGGGACCCTACCCTTGCACGAATTTTGTGCACTGGTCCTCTAGTTAGGAAAATATGAATAAATCAGATCACAGGGAAACTTTTGCGTGCCAACAGTCCAAAGAAAGTTAACAATTCATAATATAAGATGCCATTAAGAGAATGATAATTGTGTTTGGAACTGTTCTTATGAATATTAGTTTACAATGTATATATGACGTTTTGTTTTGTTTTATTTTGTTTGTAGGTATTAAACTTTAAGGAATTCTCCTCTTCACTTTTATTCCTACATTGAATAGGTTGTGGGTATTTTTCACTTAATGTAAAAGGTTATGTTCTAGGAAAATACACTCGAAAAAGAATTGTTTGATCAAAGCCACTTCCCCCATAAGCTTCCATAATAAAATTTAGAGATGTTCTCAGCTGGGAAAGTTTTCAATTCATTGACATAATAAAGATGATTTTAAGAATATGATAATATATTTAAAACTACATATTTAAAGAAAATTATAACTTATAGACACATCATTGGTATTCAGTGTAAAGCTGCTCTACCTCTAGACTCAGTAATATGGTAAAAACATTTAGAGTTATCTGTTACATTGTAACAGAAACTGACAATCCCTTACCCTATTTCACATGCTGCCACCACGTAAATTTATCAAATTACCTAAGTTGTGTATCTGCCTTAAACCATCATAATACTCAGAAATTGACATGAGTTACTTTTAATTTTCTCAGCAGTTTGCCCATTATTTGAATTCACCAATGCTCTTTCCAAAGATCTTCTTTTGATACCAGCATAAGCAGCTAAATAAGAACAAAAATGTGCAATACTTGCTTAGTAAAGAAGACTAAACTCAATGTTATCTGAATATATTTTGCTTTCTATTAGTTGCTTAATGTCCAGCAATGATAAAATATTCATTGACTGTATCTGTGTGGACAGTAACTTTTTATATAACTCATAGCTTATGTCCTAAGTAGAGGATGATCAAAATAACAATTATATTTGTTGAAACTATTAGCTACTGTGAATTAAAGTTTATTAGTAATAACTATAATCAGAGAAGAGTATTACTGGCAACAAAAGATACCAATGAAAGGTATAAGATGGTATATAGAACCCTCCAAAATATCAAGTCTGGACATATTGTTTCTTAAAGTAAATTTGTGAATTAAATCAAGATTCCTTTATATTTCTAATTGTAATATGTGAATTTCTATTGGGGGTACAACCCTCTTTTGAAGTAATAATTATAATGCAACTTACAATTTTTGACTAAAATGCAGAAAACTATTATTCATGTAACTAATTCTCAACACAACAAAAAGTTATTGGAATAGCAGTAAAATAAGTTTTGCAGAGGTTTGTAATTGCAGATTAAACATGAATGTTAGTTGCCAATTATTAACTCATGCATTATTAATGACATTACTAAAATTTTGACAGACATCAATGTGCAGGACTCTGATATACTCCCTTTGTTTTCAAAAAATAATAAAAATAGTATGACTAATTAGTAGTACTAAAATGAATGGACCAAAATGCACATTGCTCAAAGAATATCCCTTATTTACTTTATCAAGAGATATTCTTTGAAGCATATTAATAATCTAAAGTTGTAATAATAAAATCATTTAGATTTAGATTATAACTGTACAAAACAGATTATAACTGTCTTAGGAAACAGTGAAAAAATAAACAGGTTATAAAAATATATGAACTTAATACTTTATAACTGCTTGCCTCAGGAAATAGAATGATTATTTTTAAATCTGACTTCTATAATATGTATATTTGAAGTTATTTATATTAAATTTAGTAATTTAATACGTAAATTGTCATTTAAAAAAATTCTATGTCCACTACCAAAGAGTTCATTGTCACTGACATTTCCCTCCCCTTTAGGTTTATCCAGGAGAATAATATTCACAAAGATTAGAAAATCAAGTGCCTTAGTTCATGTCATGCTGAACTCTCCTCTTCCAACAAAGTCTATACTTCTATCAAAAACTTAATCAAGTCTGACTTTCTCTAGAAGGACTTTCCAGACAACCACCAGCCTTCAAAGATCTTTTACTCTTAATTATTTTAGTTCTAATTCTGTACTACTCTATGTTTCAATTGTTGACCATGATGTCTTATATATGCATTTTCTTTCTCTAATGGGTAAGCAATTGAACTCCGGGGACTTGTCTCTGTTCTATTCTCCATAGTACCAAATATAGTAATGGGCACTTGGAGAAGATAAAAAATAAAAACATGTTGAAATCAATTTTTTTTTTAAAAAGACTAACTCATCCCAGAGTTTACTGGTCAAGTGCCTTGATTGCACTTGCAAAAATAACTATTAATATTATCTTATAATGTGGTTATTACATGCTAAATAAATGCTCTTAAGAACATACACCTTCATAGCCATAGTCATTACAACAGAATTCTAAATTGGATCCAAATTACTTCTTGGTTCTAAAAGTATGTGGAAATGAACAGCAAGTAACCAAATGGTACATCACTATTTCATATTAGAGGCCCAGTGCACGAATTCATGCACAGGTGGGTTCCGGCTGGCCTGCCCTGATGGGGCTGCCAAGGGAGAGGGGACACAGGAGGTTGGATAGTTGGCCCTGTCTCCTGGTTGAACTTCCAGTAGAGGGGACAATTTGCATATTATCCTTTTATTATGCAGGATAATTCAGAATTGAATTCATCAGAAGCTTTTCCAAAACAAAACAAAAAATCTTATAACCTTGGAAATCTAGCAACTAGGATCATGTCAGTTTGCCAGTTCACAAAACAATACCTGCTGAGGTCCAAGATTATTATGCAGTGATACCAGAATTATATTTAGTAGTTCAATATGTAAATTATCATTAAAAATCTATGTCCACTACAAAAGAGTTCATTGTCACTAACATTCCCCTCCCCTTTAGGTTTATCCAGGAGAGTAATTATAATGCATTTTCTTATTTTTTGTGCTTATATATTGCGCTTTAAAACCATATCAAAGAGAACCTCAAACATCATGAAAATTGTCAAAATAAAACATTTTACCCAAAGGAATCAGGGAATTGTTGGTCTTTATTATTCACTAGGTAAAATTATCTAATCACAAATGACATCTAGTCTATATCCTTTTTAAAGATCTTTAGTTTAAAAGCATTTACCCAAAACTAAATTTAGCTTTTCCATTATTGCACTTCTTTTCCACTTCTTTCCTTTTCAATAAAAGAAAACTAAAATGGCTTATAAACCAGCACAAAGGGGAATCAAATAAAATAAGGAACCTATCCTTCATTGTATGTTCATAGAAGTACCTTACAATCAAAATTACTAATTAATCTAAATTCAGTCCACTTTTAAAAAGGGGTCAACTGTTAACTGTAAGTTTTCAACCATTTGCTTTATTAAAACAATTTCACTCCTCAAAGATAATATTGCTAATTTTTAAAAAGCGCCTTACAACTTTAGATCTTCATCTAATTATACTATCCAAAATATCACTTCAGGTCCCTCATGTCAAAAGTTTTTTCGAAGTAACTATTCTCAACTGCCAGCTACCCCCAGAAAGAACAGATAGATCATAACATATCCTCACTTTTATTAGGAACATTTCACATTTCATTATATTTATTTTAAAAGATGTGTCATTCTGGATGAAGAGTAGTTAGTTGATAAAATCTGTTTCCCCTGTTACCAATTAGCTACTCTTTGTCTACTTCAAGTTTGATGCCAATTTGGAAGACAAGTGAAATGTTTGCTGGTTTGTTTTATCATCATCATCATTATTTAAGTACGATCTAATTCTTCTGTCAGGATTCAGAACCCAGGCACAGGACTTTCAGAAGCTCTTGGTACACAAATAGCAAGAAACCTGAAACTAAGAGGCCACGCGAGGCATGGAGCAACAGCAACCTGAGAATCCACTTTTGAGAAGCCTGTGGTCAGACTGAGCCTCCAAAGACCAAGAGCAAGGGAAAGGGGGTGAGCTGGGCACTGGGAAAGTATTTCCCCAAATCAGGGGCCAGACTACAGGATTGTACACAGAATTAACAGCATCTACGGCATCTAAGAAACAGAGCCAGGCCTTAAACACCGACCCGCATTCCTGGACCCCGGGGTTGAGACCAGAGACCAGTGGTTTTAAAAAGGAAGACCACCTCAAAGGTAATAGGGAGCCGCGAATAGATGCAGGAAAAAGCGGCGCTATGGTCGCCTCCCAGGGCCCCGAAGGTCAGAAACGTACTCCAGCACCAAGCGAGTACTGTGCCACTACTCACCCCAACTCTTCTATGGTCCCCGTCGTGGCCCTCTTGGACTCAGCCCCAGCAGGGGGAGCACCTCCCCCGCCCGCCGCCAGGGGTGGTCTTAGCGGACGAGAGGAGGCGGCGGCGCAGATGTCGGTGAGCGCGGGCCAGAGAAGCCCACCAAGAGGAGTCTGGTGCCTTGCGCTCCCTAGCGCCGCCAACTTCACCACCATCGACTTGGTAGGGTGAGGGAAGCCAAAGACGGGAGGCCCTCGCCCAGTGGCCCGGACCCTCCCAGAGTGCTAGGCCCAAGCTCGGGCGGGACCGCCGCCGCCGCTCCGCTCAGCGACGGGACCCCCAGGCCTGATGCCAGTCCCTCAGACCCCGCGGTCACAGAGCAGCGGTGGCGCTCCCTCTGGGTCCACGGTCACAGCTGCATCCTCGTGCTCCTCCTCCTCTGGCGCTGCTGCCTACACACAGCCCAGCGCCTTTAGAGCCGCGGCGCCCTGACTGTCGTTGCCTAGCAACCACGCGCATGCGCTCCACCTACAATTGGTGGTAGGAGCTCAGTCCTCCACCTATGAAAATGCGCAAAAGCCCCCTTTTTGGAGCCTGGATGGAACTTCGTCAAAGTAGGGGTTAGGTAGGGAGAGGTATAGGATGCTTTTCTATCAGAAGAGGCCATAGGACTTAGGACCTTCTCCTGCCCCCTCGACAGGCACCTCAGTGGTAGAATGACAGTCCCAGCAATCTCAACATATTGTTTAGTCTTTCCTACTCCACTCCAATCCATCTTTCACGAGGACTTCCAGAGGAATTTTCCAAATAACCTCTCTGACCATGTCACTCATCTGCATAACACCCGAGTCAAAGGATAGTTCACTTAATAAGGCCTAACAGTTCTTGGCTACTACAACAGCATCCTCAATGGTCTCCCTGCCTTTAGACTTGTGTCCCTGCAAACTGTTCTCATACTTCTACCAGACTGATCTTTGAGAACTATAAATCTCCCGCTCTCCCTTCCGGTTTAGAGAATGGGCTTTTGAGTTATAGCCAAGTTTTAAATTCTGCCCCACTGCTGAGTAGCTGTTTCCTTGAACTAGGATGCTTAACCTCTATTAATCTGTTTCATCTGTAAAATAGGAATAATTATAGAACCTATAAAACAATTATGTGGGTTAGCTTAAAGAGTGCACTTAACATACATAACTTACTCTGGCACAATGTAAGCACTTGGTGAAAGTTAAAGGTGTTTTCAGTAGACTTCATTGCTTATAAAAATGGATAAAGTATAAACTCCCTAGGTAAGCATTAGAAGTACTCTAAGATTTTGCCTCTATCTAGCCTTAGCTCTTTTCCACTCCCACTTGAGCACCCAGCCACAGACCAGTCCTTGTAGTTTTTTAAATACATCTATATCTATAAATGACTTAGATATATTTCCCCAAGGTTCATCTGGAGAAGAAATCTATGTAACATATCCAGTGATCCTTCCCAAATTACACATTAATTTTAAAATATTGACACTGAAAAATGACATGAAGGTAGTGACTGTTCACAGAAATTGTGAGGTTTTCTGAAGGATTATTTACTTTATCTTTTTTGAAATTGGGCTTAGGGTTCCTATAATATGTAATGAGAAAAATAACAGAAATTTTGAACTTAATACAATGCATAAAATGGCAGCAAATTTGAATTTAATATAGGTAAACATATATTACAAACATCATGTGCCCTGTTAGATTTTACTTAATAAAAGGTTTAAACATTTTAGGAAGTGGAAACATAGTTGTACCATGTGGAAAAAGTCTGAGAGGCCCAAGATCAATTGCTAATGAGACATTAGTGGAAAACTCAAATGGAATATAAGACTAAAATGAAATTTCATGAAAACTATACAGCCAGAAAATATTGAAAAAAAAGGACAATTGAAAATATGAAATGAATGAATTACTCTATGACTAATGAAACAGAAGTGCCAAATGGAATTAATCAACAAACTGTAAACAGGGAGGATCATCACATAGGGAATATATATTACAATTGAATATGGCAGTGAGTTTGTAAAGAGTTCTAACACAGATTATATCTTTTCTTCCATATGATACAGACATGCCTTTCAGGTTCAAAGGAAGACACTTCCTTAATGTTCAACCTTTTTTCAAGGACCACCAAGGCCTCACAGGGACAGACCTCTAACATAATTTACTCAGGTCTTCTAAAATCTGTATTAAGTTATATAAAACAGTTTATATTTATTGAACTCATCACATTCTATAACTGATATCTGTTATGTCTACAATGAAACAAATAAATAAATATTTAAGTTTTACTAGTCACCTTAATTCTTCCATATTCATTTCTAGATGCAGAACTGTGTCACTTTTGCACTTAAACTGTGTCACTTTTGCACTTAAACTCCTTCAATATTTTTCCTGGGGTTTCAATATAAAATCTGAGCTCCTTCACACACATCGACCTATCAAACCTTTATGTTGGTGAAGTATAAATTTCCATCAGCAAAGAGAGACCTATCCACATTAATATGGAGTAAAATAAAACATTTATTATGGAATAAGCACAACACAGTACGTGCAAATAGGTAGCCCGCAAGAGACTATAACGTCAGGATAAAATTCTATGCAACTTTTACAGTAAAGCGAATTCAAAGTTCAATTGGGAATTGAGGTAGCTATTTGTTTAGTTAATTGACTTCCCCCAGGGGGATAAAAAAATTCCTCTAGCTGCCATCTTGCATTCCCCTGTGTGTGAGCTTATTCTCAGCTGGTCTGCCCAAGACCCCCTGAGTGCCAACCCTAGTCCCGCTCACTGCCCCATTTCCACTCCAACAAGATGAAAGAAATTATCCTGAACCAGGAGAAACTCGCCAAACTGCAGACACAAGTGTGCATTGGTGGGAAAGGAACTGCTCCTAGAAAGGAGAAAGTGGTTCACAGAATAGCTACAGCAGATGATAAAAACTTCAGTTCTCCTTGAAGAAGCTAGGGGTAAACAGTAACCCTGGTATTGGAGAGGTAAATCAGTTCACAACCCAGGAAATAGTGACCCACTTTAATATATTTTATTGATTTTTTTACAGAGAGGAGGGGAGAGAGATAGAAAGCTAGAAACATTGATGAGAGAGAATCATCGACCAGCTGCCTCCTGCACACCCCCTACTGGGGATGTGCAGCAACCAATGTACATGCCCTTGACCTGACCGGAATCGAACCTGGGACCTTTCAGTCCGCAGACCGATGCTCTTCCACTGAGTTAAACAGTTTCGGCAGTGACCCACTTTAACAACCCTAAAGTTCAGGCATCTCTGGCAGAGAACATTTTCACCATTACAGACCATGCTGAGACAATCAGCTGACAGAAATGCTATCCAGCTTGGTGCAGAAAGTCTGACTAGTTTAAGGAGACCGGTGAAGCTTTGCCCAAAGCACCATTTGCTCCTGGAGAAGATGATGATAATGAAGTTCCAGATCTTGTGGAGAATTTTGGTGAAGCTTCCAAGAATGAAGCAAACTGAATTTAGTTAACTTCTAAAAAAGGTTAACTTGAAGAAGTTACTAGGAGCTGCTATTTTATATTATGGTTGCTTTTTTAAATTTTATTTATGAATCTGATAAAATCTAGATCTCAAATTTTTTAAGCACAAGCCCCTTGGACACTGCAGCTCTCTTCTGCTTTTGCTTATAAACAAATCATTCTTTGCAGCCAATTAAGCTGAACAAGCCTGGGAATAAAGCTTGAAACAAAAGTTTATAAAATTCTTTGCCTAGAAAAAATAAAAAGAAGAAGAACAAAACTCTTCTTTTCTCCCCCAAAGACACCTTGAATATCCTTAAGAGGCAAATGATTACACCTGGAAATGAGATCTCTCACATTAATTCTGTAGATACATATTTACTTTTCAAAGGGAAATATGGTTCATGACCTTGGAAACATGTTGACACTATAAAACTGAACACTAAGTACTTCTAGTGCCTGCAAAAATTTATCTACAGTCCAAAATTTAAAGAAAGTATTTGAGCCTACTTTATTCCCCAAGAAGACACTCTAAGAAGTAAAAGAAAGAGAAATATTCTCTTTTTTATCCATTTTTATTTACCTCTACAGTTTATTGAAATCTTAACCAAAAAAAACGAACTTTGTGAACATTGTAGATAATGAGGAAATCTTTCTTAAATAAGTAAGAAAGTAATAGAAGAGTTTGGCATTACTCTGGGTATTAACAGATGAGTAAGAGTTTTCCAGAAAGGGATAGGAATATTCCACATAAAGGAAAAAGTATGTTCAAAGGTCCAGAAAGTGTGAAAGTCCATGGTATATTAAGTGAAAGTAGAAACGTTTGACTTATACATACTACATTTGTATTTAGGGGCTGTACAGCCTAAAAGGATATTGGAGTTGAGTACAGAAAAGTAGATTGGAGAAAGATTGTGAAAAGCCATTAATGTCATCCCAAAGAGTTTGGAAAAAGTCTATTTATATCTAATGTCTAAAATAAGACAATATACTACTATTTGTTTTGTGATCAGAGAAAAATATTACACAATACCTCAGCCCCAAAGAGCTTATAATCTGATGGATGCAAGAAGACAAAATAAATAAAATACCATAAATTGACAGATGTATTTGAGGAGGAGGAAACAGGATTATAGATAACTTTGGATAAAGTTTCTGAGAAAGCTTCTTGGATGATTTCATCTTGACCTATAGTGTAAACTTTTTCCAAAATTGGAGACATTCCTGGAATTCCAAATACTTGGAACCTATGTACCCATATGCTATAGTTCTTCCCCACTTCGTTTTCTGTTTCCATTCTGGCTCTTCTGAAGATGAATCACTCTGACCTTTAATCCAAATTGATGTCACCACAGATTTAGTTTCTCATCTCACCAATTGGCATCACTTGGCAATCCTTTCACATTTTCTTGGTCAGTTCCTCTCAAATTCTTGTCAACCATTATTCCAAGCCTTATCTATTCTCCATTCTAATGGCTTCACTATCCACCCTTCACACTCACTACTCAACTGATTACCTCATCAATTACCTTCCTGTAAAAAAATGAAGAAATGATGCATTTTTCCCACCTACAATCTGCATCTGCTCCCATATTATACTTTAATTCCTTCAGCCTCACAAAGGGATTATGCAAAACTAAATTCTTCATCTGAGTTCCTGATAATTGTTTTACACAGACCTTCAGAGATCTTGCTCTATCACTTTTTCTTTCTGTCTTCAATACCTTACACTTCTCCCTCTCTATTGACTCATTCCCCTCAGCCTATAAGCATACTCAAAACTCTTCCATCCTTAAAACAAAACTAAAACACTTTTCTTTTATCATGGAGCCATCTCTAGTTTTCTTCAGTGACTCCTGTTACCCTCTTGCGTTACCATAAAACCAGAGGTCTCAAAAATTGTTATCAACATTTACTGCTTCTATTCCTTCACTTCCCATTTACCTTTCAACCACTGTAATAGGAGTTT